TTACCGATTTTGGTGTCCGAAGTATTACGGCGGCACAAAATTGAAGAAATCGGGTGCTGAACGAACGAATAGTTTTACCGGTACGACACCATACATGAGCCCGGAGATGCTTCTTGGGGAGCCACAAGATGCCCGCATGGATTGGTGGAGTTTTGGTTGCATCCTTTTTGAAATGGCAACGGGACGACGGCCCTTTGAAGGGGAGAGTCAATATGCTGTCGTGCAGTCTATAGTTGAGCGTGATGTACAAGTTTGCCAAGATGACTTTCTTCTCACATCACTGGAAATAGAGAGACGTGTAATGCAATTGCAGGAACGGTACGAAGCATTCTTGGTTCGAGTAGTAGGGCAGATTAAAAAATGCAAAGAAAATGGGAGTATGACAGAGGAAGAACGAACACAATTTAGTGGTTCCCTTGAGGACGCACAATCGACGTTTACTGTAGATGCAGCTCCCGCGCTGCATGATACCAGCTCTTGTGGTAGCAAAAATTTACTTGGCGATGTTACACGAAGTTCGCTGGGTGAAGCATTTTGCCGCACCTTTAGCAGTGAAACACTGAACGCAAAATCTTCCATGACTATTGAAAATCAAGCCCTGTTTATGAATTTTGCCGTGGGAGAGTTAGATGAGGCGTGTGATTTGTTAAAAGACCTTATCTGTTCACTGTTGGAGCGCCGTACCGACCGGCGCTTAAGTGGACCAGCGGTGCTCGAACATCCATTTTTCTCGTGTCCGTATGTCTGTTCCCAGATATATTACAAACATGATGCTCGCGTGGATCCCGGCGACATTTCTGGCTTTTACGTCCCAACGAAGTGGAAAAACAGTTTTTCTTCAGGCGGTCACTTTGCAGAAGATGAGGAGAAAAATGAAAATGGTGAGAAAAATGACGGAAATGATGCGGAAGATGATGATGGGGGCACAACGGAGCTTCAAAAGCATCTTGGTGCTGCGCGCTTCCTCGCCCAGTCCCCGACCCAGCGGCCCGACAACTGGCGCGAGCTCTTTTTGGAGGGAGTGGTGTCATCGTTGTATGTTCCCCGCCTCTTGTCGGCGGACGATCTGCGTTACTTTCCACATGCCGTGACGGCGATGGGGGATAGTGTTGTCACTCAGCAACGTGCTCTGCGGGAACAGATACGGAGAAAACACGGTGTGCTGCATCCACGCGAAGGTGAAGGCGACCACCAGGCTTCTCCCCTCAGCGTCACCCATAAAGGAGGCCATCCGTTGCATCAAGAAAATCAAATGAGTGAAGAAGACGAGGATGTTGAGGCTTTGCCACACTCAGTTTCACAGCGAAGCTCCTTGGTAGCGTCATTGAGGGGGAATAAAAATGCGGCTTTCGCAAATGAAGAGCCATTATTTATGGGAGAAACAGTCAGCAGCTTGGCATTTCCACACCATGATACTTTCAGCGTCTACTCACTTTCGAGTCTGGAGGCTTCACCTGCAAAATATCCGTCTTTGCTGGCAAAGTCATATGGCAGGTCATATAACAAAGAGTGTTGTAATGAAATCGGAAGAGAAACTGTAACGGAGCCAATGGAAGAATCCTCTCATCGCCTAAAATTGTCGACCTTGGACCTCTCTTATTCCACCTCAGCAGAAGCAGCAAAAGCAACAGCAAAAACACCGGAAACAACGCTTGGAGGGGTTTTAGCGGAAGTGGCACCTTCCCTCATTTCTCATAGCTTTCCTTTGGAATTGGGAGAGTCACAGACTGCTGCCCACCAAGAGTTGCACCCCGACTTGGGTAGAGCGTACACAGCTCCATCGGAAATATTTACATCTACGCCCACCAAATCAAGGGATGCTTTACCTCCATTTAATTTATTCACTGGGGATTTAGGGGCAAGAGAAGTCCTATCGTCTGACACGTCTTATGTCACCACTGAGGATGAAGACAACACTGGGAATGCATTTGACGATATTAAAGATCAAACACCGGGGACACTTCATGGTA